ATTACCGCAAGCAGATACACACAGTCAAGGAGGATAACAACTGAGGCAGAAACGAGTAAAACGAGGAAGTGGAAGAATTTGAGGAGTTGCATGTAATTCAAAGAGGTCTAAGAATCAACTTCGGCAGATTCAGTGTTGGGTTCAACGCAGCCGTCAGCGTCTTCGTCGTAGTCTTGCTCTTTCGCAGCTATGGCAATATCACCTTCAGGATCGCTATCATCGTCGTTCTCCATTCGATCCAGCGAAAGCAATAATTTGCGGAACTGAATAATAGAAGAGTTGGGAATAAGATAAGTATGTGAAATTGGACAAGCTAGTTACGTTTGTTGATATACAAAAAAAAATGGATTAGAAAGAATTTCCTTTTCTATTACCCCATACGATTATCGATTCTGTATGAGAACCGATGGAAAAAAATCAAATCTATAGAAAAAACTGAGCTTTGAAGTACTTTTAAATGCTTTTGATCCTTCAATGAATTTTAAGATTTAACTAATAGGCACTGCGATAGGAAGTAGTTCAAACAAACAGAAATAGACAATGCCGAGTCCGCAATAGTGTTCCGGACTAAGTCCAAGAACTTCGAGTCTTTGAAAATTGTCCAATAAAACCAACGTTGCAGATTTTTGTAGCCAGGTTGAAGTGACTTTGGATGCTTTGACGATCATTAGCTAATGGGTCGTTAGCACTTCCATCACGACGACGACCACCATCCAACGCAGCCAGCGGATTGAACATTGGTATGTTCTTTCGCGATGACAGAGCCTTCTCATAAACCTTGGCTGCTTCAGAGGGGGAGTATTCTTGCACCTTGCTAAAAGCTGGTAACAATATTTCCAAAACAAAATGCAAAATCAGTAAACATCAGGTTTAACGTACGCTTCAGTGAATCCATAAAGCTTCATGAGAAAGTTTTTGAGGTATAGTAAAATAAAGCACGCTTGGCTGTTATCCATCAAATCGTAAAGCGGACCTTTCTCTTCGGGGAAACGATCTGAATCAAAAAATTTACTACTACGTTTTGAAAATAGAGCTACTTACTGTAAAGAGTTTCAGGTTCGAAAAGGAGGTCATCGTCCTCAGTGACCGACAGGCTCTTTTGCTGCTGTTGCTGAGGTGAGTAAAACTGTTGACGAGCACGCAAATGTGCCTTACACTGGACAAGCAATGATTGACCAGAAAGGGCAACAATAGAGTCGATAGTATGGATCACGTATAAGGGTTCGTCCATAACCTTAAAATTAAAACAAGTTCTGCTTCTTCAGTTAATTCACCAACACAACAGAAAGGACATTTTCAGGAAGAAAAAACATTTTTTGAACCATACAAAAAAAATATTTTTGTTCTCATTATGTCACTACTGTGTAGTTTACATCAATACTTTCATACTTTATAAAAGGATTTTTCACCTGGTATGGGAACATTGCCACATTGTCAGCTACAAAAATCCATTCTTCCAGCCTCAACTTCTCTCGAGAATCTTCACTGAACAACCTAAAACAGAAATTTATCGTTCTCTTCACATGGGTAAGGTTCGCATACCTTAAAACACTGGTAAGGAACGATCTTCGCTGTTGTCTATTTGTTCGAAGTCGTTGATATAAACCACTGAGAACTGCTTGACCGTCGTTCGAATGTCGGGGAAGGCCAGTTGAAGGGTCCATCCGAGCTAAAGAAAATATTGTTCTAGTTGACATAGGTTGATGGATTGGCTGTAAATTAGCAA